TACAATGTTTGCACGGTGAGGACGGGCGTTGTCATCCATAAACCAAAATTCAGCACCCATTGCGCCCCGAAACAAACGTACATGTTGTTCCAGAATGACATCCCGATAGATGTGGCCTGTCATTGTTACACTCTGAACATGCAGGTCAGTTCTGGAACCAAGAATAATTCCTCCCCAAACGAGCCATCCTGCACCACCTTAACGGTGTCGTTCAATGGTGTTCTCTTGGTGCTAACGGGCACCTGGCGCTCTCCATATGAAAGTCCGGCCAGAATCAGACTGCAAACTAAACCTGGACTCATCTCGAAAACATCACTCCAGACCACTGTTGTGGTGTCCACAATGCATGCTCTCTACTCCAGGTTAATCACAGGCGACAGTGAGTTGCGGTAAGTGGAACACATCTCACAGGCCTACGAGCATATAGACCAATGTGCCCTAAGTGTCTGTACACGGTCTGCCTTGATACTGTCGTACCGGTAGCTGAAGAGAGCTGACGAGACAGGTCTGATGCTGTGCTCCGTCTGTTTCTTTTGGCAGTAACTGCTAAATACCGGTCCTCATTCGGCGTTGTAACTCGGGGGCGACCTGTGCTGTAACATCTACTCACATTACCATCATCTTGGAATCGTTGCCAAAGCCTGGAGATGACACTCTGGGCGATTCCAAGTTCCTCGGATACTTCCAGCTGGGTACGTCCACATTCCAGTCGTCCGATAATTCTACCACGTAAAAAATCATCCAAATGCTTCCTTTGTGCCTTAACTATGCGGTTATTGCACTGAAAGGCTTTTAAAAGCGCTTGTGAACAATTTTTACTTCTTTGCCACCATTCTTTATATACCCCTCTCTTACACTCTCGTCATTGTGACGTACTATCCGCGCCATCTGGTGGTTTCCTGTAATTTGCATATTCTTCTTCAAGATGTGTGTGATAATTCTACAGGTGAAATTTTTATTTTAGAGTTCAATTTTTGTGTGATTCTGAATTATCCTTAATTTATGGACATGAGTGTATTGTAGAATAACTGTTTCTTATAATTGTGTTGACCTTAAATTAATTTAAAATTTTATTAATATTTACTATTTGTAAATAATTCATGCTTAATTTTTCCACTAATGTTAAATAATAATACCATCTTAAATTCTTTAGTTCCAAAATTACTGAATTTTTTTCCAAGACTAATTCATATTTTATTTGTTGACTTATAAAATATTAAATACTAAAATAATTTATTTTATTTTAATTATAAATTTACGAATTACTGCAGTTAGTAATTCGTGTGACTTGAAAAATTGAAGTTATTTTTTATTTCTGATTTGTGGCTTGGACTGAATTTTGTAAGCTGCATTCTTTTTCCACCGAAAATCTGTCATTATTCTTTATCTAGAAATAAACGAATTTTCAAAAATAAAATTTTTTAAATAATATTGATTTATCCATTAATTATCTAATGTAATTATACGTGATATGTTGTTTTCATTTTTATTTTTTGTGTTAGGTAACTAATTTTTATTTTTTTTTTTTTTAAATTGAATATATATAATTTTAAATTTAATTTTAAAAAAAAAAAAACAATGTTTTTGCTTATGCAAATACAAATACAAATAATTTAGAAGTATATACATAATCAGTTTTTTTTCTTACTCGATATATCATTTGATATTTTAAATTTGAAATGAATCGTTTATTTCTTACTACGACACATTTTAAATAAATCGCATTTCAATTAAACATCATATTTAACGTAAATATAGTACACCAAAACAAAATTCAGAGATCGTGTGTGTGTGTATGTATACAGAGAGTGAGAGATAACGCTTAATATTTAATGTCCTTCTACGAAGTAATAAAAAAATAAGAAGGCATACCAAGTAATAATCCGATGTAAAGCCCAAGCTGGCCTAAAGCGTGCTATCACTTTATCCAAAAGAGCAACCTGCAGATCATTTGTGGTTAAACTCGATTTTAGGAAATTTTATTTCAGATTTAGTTGAAGGACTGACTCAACAGATTTATGTTATTACAGATTAGAATTATGACTCACAGATTTATGTCTAGACTAATAAACAAGAAACCGGTCATCACTGGGAACAAATGACCTTGAATGCCAAGCATCGCTCGTCAATTGGCAAAGGCATTGTTCAAACACTACGCAGTTCTCAGTAAACGGATTGCTTGTAATGGAAACGGATTAAGTAAACGGATTAAGTAAATGCTTTAGCTTGTTGTACGGTTAAGTAAATACATTTGTCACAAATTGGAAACATAAACTTTTAAAAATACTTATTACAAACGAGAAACAACATGAAAATGAAATTAAATAACGAGGTTACAAGACTTTTCGTAAAAACGAAGCATTTTTACTCTCTTGTAAAAGCACATCCTCAATAAGGTCGAATATCTAAGGAAAAAATAAAACTTTGTATCCGAAGCCACTTTGTAATTTATTTCTTGGCTCCTCATATATCGTACATTGGAACAAAATACGTTCCACGGTTTTTTGTTGTATTGTAGTATGGAACAAAATAGATGAGGCTAGACCAAATATACGCAGTGTAGCGTTTCATGGTTGTTTTTGTGCGAAATCTAGAAAGCGTATCAATAAAAGAAAATCGAAAGCGTAGAACGATTTGAAGGAAGAATTCGATGGCTGGGTTTCAGGCTATTCAAATGAATAAATTCCCCGTGCATTTTTACCACTTGCCCATTGATCTTTTTTTTTTTTCCTGCATTGTCTTCTGTTTTTTGGTGAATTTTAAGGTCCTCGGGAGATATCCAATGGAAAGTGATGCTGTATACCCGCTGATTTTGCTAGAGAGTCATTTATTTCATTCCCAACGTGCCCAAATGAACTCAATTGTTAAAATGTTGCTGATTTTGACTTGAATAATCTAATGATGCGATTGGATTGAAAGTTACAGAATAGAAAGACTGTCTGTAAGGATGATATACTTATCAGCTGAGAGAATATATAACGAGATAGTTAAAACAAGTGCCTGTGATAATACTATTGCAATTGGAAATTTGACATGAGGAAAACTATTGTGAAAATGTAATGATGACAACAACTGAGTGTTTCAGATATGACATAGATGCATGTGAGACTAAGATAATGTTGTCTTTCCAGAGTTCTTCTTTATATTGTTCAAAAGAGCTTTGATATTAATGGGGATTTAATGTTAATTAGGGTTTGATATGATTGGGTAACTGTTTGTTTCTAAAGAACAGATTATCAAGATGAAAGGTGATTTTTGAATTCTGACGACTGGTGGAAAATTTGAAATTAAAATGGAAGGTTCAATGCTTAAGTTGTCTATATGGAGTGCAAAAAAAGGCTTGAAGAGAAATGAGATGTTACAACCTTGGGGGATGATTTCCAGAACTAAGATGAAGGGAGATGTCACAGTAGGCCTTGAATTCATTATCTTTAGTAGAGGTGTACTCCATTAAACTAACGTGTGAATCAATGTCCGCCTTAATTGTCCCGCAAAAACACCCCTGATCAAAATGTAGGACTTTCCCAGACTACACTGAACAAACAAAAATTAAAACCTTTGAAAGAACTTAAATTAAGACGTGAAGAAAGAAATAAAATTTATAAATAAGTAGGTAACTTACCCAAGATAAATTTTAAAACCAAAAACACTATATAACATACAAAAAAAGTTACCTGAAAAAAAACCAAAATAAGTAAAGATGGAGGAGGTGAGATAATTGCAAAGTATGTTTGTTACTCAAACGCAAACTGTTACTTCGAGACCCACAAGATCAGACTCTTGGAGGCAAAAACTCGGAAGAGATTTTTATAAATGTTAAATTTGGTGATCCTCAATCAGATAGACGTAAGAAGAGACAGAAAAGTTAAATTTGATAAATTTTCATTTATATATGTATTTCGTCTAACAGCTTTTGTGTTTATGTATTTTTAATATGAAATAATATTTAAATTATGTTTACAACCCCATATATGAATAATATGCCTCTATCAACAGGATTCTTCTCATAGGAACAGACTATTCTTCTCATAGAACTATTTTGGCCTTATTTTTTTATCGATTTTTATTTCTTATTATTTAGTAAAATTCGTTTGATGCTTGTTGTATTTGGTATAAATCAAAGGTCCGCTGTCCGATCAATAAATGTCATCATTATTATTTTTATTAGGAAACTTGATATTGAATATGGACCAACGGACTATGATATTAAAATCGCCGCCTATACAAAACTTTAAGGTACACAAAATAAGGAATACACAATTAAGGAATTTTTTTTTGAAATGATTGAAAAACTTTATATTTGTATACATTTTTGGATTGACTGCATCTCAGAACTTATGATTTCACATAAAAAAATTTCATTATTATTTTTCTTAAATTTTTATAGTCTAAAAACTAATACTGTTACAAAGCATGATAATTCAAAATCGAATCAATATTTTTTTAAATTTCTAAGTTTGTACTATCATTCTACAAGGAACAGACCTCTGGTAAATTTATATCTTTAATATTTATTATTTTGTATTGGTGTCGACACAAAATTCTTCCAAAAATGTAATTCCAAGTTTAACAATTAAAATAAAAATATTTATGTAGCGGTAATCCTTTCAGAGATCTATTCCCTGTAAACATTTATGAAAACATAAATACAAAGTTTTGTAGCATTTGGATCAAAATTACTTGTGTTATGGTGTTTCACGTGAAAACAAAAAACATAAAAATTCATGTTGTTGTTTGTTGTTTCTTATCCCACTTGGCTGGCCAAGCCCACGAGCTATATGTACTCAGGATTGAAGGGGAAGGAAGCAGCTTCTGTTGTGATGGAGCACCCGTAGGTAGAAGTCTGACTTTGGCTCGGTGACGCTCTTACAGTCATAGGAGACCGGGACTTACTGCTTAAGGTGGATTCGAACCACTACAAACATACATGGCACCGCCGGGATTCGAACCCGAAACCAGTGGCACCGAGCGCCAGAGCGCTAGATACTCGGCCATTCAGGTCCCAAACAAGTACTGACCGCGCCCAATGATGCTTGACTTCGGTGATCTAACGAGAACCGGTATATTCAGCATGGTATGGCCGTTGGCTGCTAAAAATTCATTCTGAGCAAAAGCTAAAAGCAACTTTTAATTAGAGATATTACATTTAAAAATATTGTAAATATATTAAAATGCCATTGAATTATCAAGTTCATTCTCTTTTTTTATTAAAAGAAATAGTTTTATTTTTCCTTAAAAAGCTCTGAAAATTTTCTGAACTCTGTTTTGGAGAAGAAATTAAAATTTGTTCGACATTTTCTTTACAACTTCCTCCCTATTGGCAAAAGATTTTTAATATGAAATGTCCTGGATTTAAAATATTTAGCCTTTTGCAAGTATTTTGATTAAAAAATATATTCAAAACCATTGAATTTCACATAAAAATATCAACTATACCTATTTTTATGTAATTTATTCTTTAAAATTGAAAAAATGTAAAAAAATTGTTCAAAAAAAAAAAAAAAAATGGAGAGTGTTTTTCTTTGTAAGTATTCCTATGTTGGAAATATCATTATATAGGTAATATAGTTTTTTCAAATTTATATCGCAATTACTTAGACATTTTTGCATGCTTAAATTTTGTCGACACAAAGTTTTTTTTTTATATATATATAATTTACAACAAATTCTTAGTTTAATAACTAAATTAAATTAATTTATGATTTTATGACAATTTCCATGCTCTATTCCTTTGTATACATTTAAAGAAAACTTTTTCATGAAGTTTCAAAGTATTTAGATCAGAAATATTGATATTATATGTTTTGAAGGAACACAAAATGTTTAAAAATTCAAATAAGAAATAGTGAAAAACAACTTTACATGGAAATGAAAACAAATGGACATACATAAAAATGTTACTGAGCTTTAAATTCACCTTTATTATGATAAACACTGAAGATTTTTAAAAGAAAACAAATAAATAAAACTTCTATGGACTATTTATCAACTTGAATTTTTCTTCGAAAATATTCAAATCACTGAAATTTATAATTCAATTTCTATATTATTCAAATAACAAACAAATTTTAAATAAAATGTCCTTGATTTTAAACTTGCAACAATTATAATACATTTCAGAAAAATTTTAATGTTATCATTTATCAAATAATTGCATTAATTCCTTCAATTTCACACTTTTAAAAAAAAAAATTATCTTTCTTTAAAATTATATTGTCTATATTCTATTATCTTGTAGCTCACATTTCATTCCAGAATTCTTAATCAAATACAACACACAGTGTTTGAAATGAGAGTTGACAACATATATCTTTTAAAAATGTTGACAAACTTTAAACATAGAAAAGTTTATTGATTCACTAACAGCAACATTTCATTCAATTTATTTTATTAAAATTAAAATCTTTAAAATGTGTCTTTTCTTCTTAAAAAATGTTTTATTGATTTTTAGGATGAAATATATTACAAAAGAAATTGGAAAAGTCAATTAGTGTACAGATTTCGATAATTACCTACAATACCATATGTAAACAAACTTTCAAACAAAAAAACTTGAGCCAGATTCTTTATTAGATGAACTTTTTTAGCCAGATTCTTTATTTTATTTTTTTTAAGTGATAAAAACATTATTACATTGTTTTTTTATTTATAGTATAATAAATTTTACAGTCAGTATAAAAGGAAATATTGAAGGTAAACATATTGAAACTATCATTTCCGGTTAAGAAAATCGTACTTCCGGTTCACAAACTCGTCTCCAAGAGAAGTTTAAACTAACAGAACTTTATTTCTTCAAACTGTGAAGATATTTAGAAAGCTTAAATTACAAGTTTTCAAAAATGTAAAAATTGCAAAATCTATATTTTGGTCGAAAATTGTTTAAATTTAAAGGTGTTCCTGTACGTTAATATGTATGGTTCAGGATTAAATTAAATGGACACTAGTAAAACAAAAAGAAACTAATGTCCCAGATTTCATGAAATTTTCTAGAGTTTTAGATCCTTTTTTGTTTCAGTTATGTTTTCTTTTATTACGTAATTAAGTAAAAAATAAAATTATAAAATTAAGAATAAATTTCTGTTTATTTTTATAATGAGCAAGATTAAAAAAAAATTAAATAAAGGGAACTGATATAAGATACCAGTTTTATCTTTTAAATACTTGTTAATGGTTTTGTTTGCTGTTAAGAGAATATTGATTGATTTCTTCGAGAATTATAATGAATCTCAAGTCTAAAAAATAATAATATCTTTTCATAAGCTACTCAGATATCGAAAACATATTCGTACATTAAAACTTAAAAAAGATAAAAATCCCATTTTCCACAACACTGAATATGATACTGCTTATTGGTTTGCGCAACCGCTATGTTGTCCACAAGAGTGACTCATAATACTAGTGATGGGCTATTTAAAGCATTCTAATGATTCGAACAGTTCAAATTTTTATTTAATTTATCGTGCCGTCATCTATTGTTCTGTAGATTAACAAACAGAATAAATAGCTTAATTTCTAAAGGTACTGAATTTTCTCTACAAATATGTTTTATTTGCTCTTTTTCAATTTATTATCTTATTAACTGTCCAGTTTTAAATTATTTTATTTTCAAATAAAAATTAACAATATTTCTCATTTATTACATCAACTGAATTCCGTAAGCGCATTCTTTTTTTTTCACAGAAAATCCACCATTATTCTTCATTTAGGAATAATAAAATTCTCAAAATCAGATCTGTTAAATAATATTCATTTAAAATCATATTTATGGCATTTATCAATTATTTACCTATACGTATTTGTTCTTTCTCGATATGCAACGAAATGATTTTTCAAAAATCTGATCCATATAATTCATTTAATTTTAAAAGTAGAAAACAAGTTTGATTGTACAAATGTGAAATAACTTACAATAAATATATAATCACTTTTTCAATTCCTTCTATTAGCTCTCATTCTTCCTATATATATCTTGTTCAAATTTTCAATCGTTAATAAAATATTTTATTCATCCACTCAAGTTCAAATGCATTTTTTAACTTGTAGTGGATGTTCATGTTGATACAATTTTTCAAATATTAATTCAGCAATTAAATGTAATTAATTAATTTTAGTTTTGTTTTTTTAGATTTAAGTTGCATATATCTACCAATAGATGGCGTCAGATGAACTTATAAAAAGAAATGAAAATTATTTATAAAGGACTTTCTGCAATATAGTGAAAAAAAGTAGGAATTGACTTAAAATTTTTTATATTACTTGTGTTTTCTTACTCTACCGAAACCTGTATACTTTTTTTAAATGAATATTTTATTTCTTACTACAACATATTTAAAATGATTCATATTTCAATTAAATAATATTATTGCCTTATCGATGAATTGCTCCACGTGTATAGTTAAAAGAAAAAAAAAATCTATGTGGAAGCCAACGCTTGATAATGTAAACATCCTATCTGCGTTGGGGATGAATGAAAATTAGTCATTTGGTTGTCTGACTGGGGGAGAAAGAAGTATAACACTGCCAATGTGCGTTTGGTTTTCGAAGAAAGCAGATGTATTTTTACGGTCCACTTTTGTCACGGTCCACATAGCACGTCAAAAAAAAAAAAAAAAAAAAAAATTCACTGAAAAAGTTAATATACTTTTTCTATTAAACGATTTCATATTCTTAGAAAAAAAATCCATTAAAACTGGTAAAAAAATTTAAAAAAAAGACGAAGCTGCAAGAGGGATGAAATGTTTTCATTTTCTTGGTGAAAACATCTTGTACATACCTTTGAGGCTCCCCGTTTGAAAATTGTTAAATTAAAAAGTATTCAGTCACTCAAATAAGTTATTTGTTATAAATTAATTATATTTTCAGGATAACAATATCTTAAAAAACTATTATATGCAATGTAACTTAATTCTGTTTTAGACACTAAATTAAAAATTATTCATGTCATAAATATCCTTGTTACTTCCAATTAGTATAATTTTTTTGGATGTCCTTGAATAAGTAATTCAGGTATGTTTTATTATTCTACATTTTTTATATAAGATCTCAACATTTTAATATTTGAATTTTTCTGAAATGGTAAAATAGAAAACTATTTATGAATCATTTTAATTTTACATAGAAAATTAATGCGAGAGGAATAAAAATTTATTTTTCTCATTCTTTACTTATACTGACTGTATAAAATTCAAGCTTATAAAAATAATTATTTTTGAATAAGATACACTTTATTTGGTATTAGAAGAATAAATAACTTCAGACAGATAATTCAAAAAGTCTTGAATGGCAATTCAGATTGTTTCTCGTGGTTTGGTTAAGTTTTTATAGTCTCGAAAATATGCTCAAAAATTTTAAATTTGATGACAAAAGAATTCGTATATGCAATAACCACATTTATTATAGAAATATAATTTTTGACAAAAAGATTTATAAGCTTGAATCATAACTTTGTGCATCCATTTCTTATTCAAGCTTACTAATACGTGGGTTTTTTTTCATTTGTTAAAATTGGGCATTTATTCTGCTTATGATTCAATTTGGGGAGAAGGATTTATTTATAAAATTTACAGATTGGAATACATTACCCCACTTCAAAAAAATATTTATAATTTTATCATTAATAGAAATTATTACATTAAATGGAGAAACTCTGTGTCACTGAAACTAATTGCACTGTTGTGTTCAACCAGGCAGTGTTCTCAGTGCTTCTTTTTTCACAATCTATACGCGAGATATTTTTGATATCATCCCTGTTCATACCGAATGTTTATTATAAGGAGACTTAATCTTACCTTTTTAGGAGTAACAAAAGTCTTGAATAAGTTGTTTTCTTTAACCTTCAAATAAACTTGCATAAAATCACTCGATGGTGCGAAATATGGAAATTCACCCTTCAACCTGGAAAAAGAAGCGGCGAATTTTTCCAATAAAAAATAACAACCATCAATTAATTTTCAAATTGATAATATCCATATCCATCGGAAACAAAATGCCCGTATTTTTAGTCATTATTAGTCCTTTTAGTCATCAAAGTCTCTCTTTCAAGAACACTTCCGGTCTAATTAGCTTAAAGTGTGCACAAAATGACC